CACAAGGTATGAAGGAGTCATTTAATATGGCTTAAACCAATCCAGGACTGCCCTGTTTTTGAAAAGAATGATCCCTTTTCCCATGGACACAGATTGTTGTTCCATCCTTTTCATCAGCTGTAACACTGAGCTGATACAGCCATGCAAAGAATCACATCAGTCTACTGGTCCAAAGGAAAACTACTTTTTGAAGTCCTGTTTTTCAGTGTAAGTCATCAGAGCCACACACTCACTAGTGCCAACACAACAAGCGGAAAGGATGGAGGGAAGGGCAAGACCACCTTTTCTTTGTACTAGTCTTAGACTAGCATAAGTTGAACACAGCACTACTGCCTTAGAAGAAGCACTGTTATTTAGAAGCAGCTCAGTTCTCGGCAGAGCAGGGAAATTAGAAGACACTGTTAATTGGTAGCTGCAAGTGTTTACACTAGCCAGGGGACATTTTCTGGCAGAAGCTCAGATTCTCTAGGATAGAGTCAATATTCACAACATCAGGCAATTATTAGAATTTTGTCATTCCCTAACCTTACGGAACTGTGATCTGGGGGTTTAGCAGTTCATATGCAAGAAAACACAAGAGGTTCTCCCAGGTTCAGAAAGCTTCAAATAAGGGTGCTTCCATCATACCAGAAGAGTTCTTTCCAGAAATGAGGACCCAGGAAGTGGCAGAAATTGCATGCTCCTACAAACTGTGGAATATCAGCAATTTTCCTTCTTTGAATAGTTTTGACAAATTGTAAATAATTTGAATGTAGAGCCTTGTTGATGTTTCAGCAGTCAGGGTCAGTCATCTCTTAGAAAAACTTAGACAACCTGCAGTAACACCATCCAGAGCAAAAAGGAACAGTGTATAAGCTAGAGACTTGAACTCAAGTCAGGGGAAGCTATTGGGTCACTCTGTGCCTCATACCACATCTGCAGTGGGAGGACAAGTATCTTTGCTAACTGAAAGCCATTTAACCTCCTTGCACAGTTATGAACTCAAATTTTTCAGGTAAAGTTGCAGAGTTTGAAGGAAAATGAAGAATACAGCTATGGCAAGCAATAAGACTTTTGCATGTTTCATTGCAAATGTCAAAATTCCAATGCTTTAATATGGAAGCTACTGCTGGAGTTAGTCAGGGAGTAATGGAAATAAAATATCCAAAATGAGTGAACATTTGGGCATCTCCAGCTGATCAGTCTCAAGCCAGTGTCAAGAAAGCTTTCAGTGCAGCAGTTATCTTGTTTATGCAAAACATCAGTATCTTCCAAAACAAACTCCTATTGCAAAAAAAAAAAAAAAAAAAAAAAAAAAAAAAAAGTTTGACTTCCTTTAATTATCTTAGCAATTAAAAAGTTAAATATTGAAATTAACACGAGAACATTTTGTGCTTTCTTTGTTCCCAAATATTCCCCTGCTTCTTAATCATTTGGCTCCCCACCCCCACCCCCCAGCTATGTAAAGTAATCCTTGAAACATACTCCTCGACAGAGATCCTTCAGAGATCCTTTTAAGTGCCAAGATTTTCAAAATCTCATTTTCCAGAAACTTTATAGGAATGCATTTTAACACTTGGCTATATCACCTCAGATTAGAAATTTGGTAGAGATGGACCTTAATTAATATTTAAATGGAGTATTACACAATAAAGTTGACAATTTTAGTCCACAAAACAGTCTGCTACACTGGGACTTACCAGAGATGAGGCTTCTTTTTTAGCCAAGCCAGCAGTTGAAATTTCCACATTCCACATTTCTCCTAATTGTTCATTGTGTTCATAGAATGACAGTCTAAAAAACTGTCAATATAGGATGAATAGAATGCTATGGTCAACACGGGATACTAAAGTAGTGTCTGCTTCATGTGCTAAAGATACAACCAATGGAAAGAAACATAAACTATTGACTTAGAAGTTTTTCATCTATTCAAATTGGTCTTCAGCTAAATATAAAATTGTTGCTCCTCCCTGTCCCCCCAAACTGGTTGCTTTGTTTTAAAAACATGCTTAAGATAGGACACTTTAGACTTTATTGTTAGGCTATTTAACAATGGTGACAATGTGCAATGAGTTAGAATTTTCATTATCCCAATTCCCATGTTGCAGAAATCATTTGAAGTCAGACATTTTGGCTAATTGCTCATCATTTCCACCACCCATGTAGAGGATTCATTCACCTCATGGGTTCTAGCTCTGTCCCGGTATCATAAACCTGCATTTTGTAATCCTTTGTCAGAGGTAATTCATGAACTCTGAACTGTTAGAGACTGAAGATGTGTTCTGAGGAGGCATTCCTGTATGCTTTTTTCCTACTCATCTGCTTTCGGTCGCTGTCTACATGGGCAAACATTACAGATACAGGTGTACTTTAAGATGTCCAGCTTGTGTCATTTTGTGTTAAATCTAATAATTCACACTAATGCCTGTTCTTTGCAGAAATCTTCACTGCACCATAACTGGAAGATCACAAACAGAGCTGTTTCAGTAGTAGAAAAAAAAAAAATAGCAAAAATACCAAGAGCATCCAACCTGTGCCAGCAACTATCAGTAGAAATAGACAGGTTAAATATCTAAAGCCTATCCCAAATGTCACATCAAGAGTTAATCTTATTTTTTTCGCTAAAGTGTGACGTCACTGCAAGGTGAGGGATTTCTAGGAATTTTTTCTCAGCTTACCTCACTTAGGTCTCATCACACTTAAAGCATATTAGCAACTAAAAATTCTTTATTTTCAGAAATGGAATACTTTTAATTATAAAGACTACATAATGATTTGTCTTTCTGTTGCAGATTTGTGAGGCAACTTGCAAAACCCATACATTGGAGAGTTCAGGCTCAAAGACTGGTACAGGCCAAAGATAAAATGGGAGCTATGCAGAAACTGTGCTGTTTTCTGCTCTGTAAGGGGAAGGCTCTTTCATGCTCCCATGTCTCCACTCTGAAGTACCACAGAAAATTTGTCCATAAAGCCTGCTTCATTATGTTTTGCATTGAGATAGCGGAAAGTTATTTTTATTTCTGTTCACCATTAGTTATCTTCAAATGTATTTTATAAATGATAAGTTTCTTACAGTCAAAGAATGTTTCTTTTATGGTCTGTTTTTTATTTATTTCAAGGTTTTGCTATGACAACCGTATTGAAAGATTTTCCTACCTTCCTAAGGTTGTAAATGTGAAAATAAAAGCATACTCAGAATATTAATCAAGCCCTAATTCTGTCTTTAAGGTCAAACAGAATTTTTTAAGTTGATATATCTGACTAGGGATTATGAGTCACAACTGCACCTTAAAAACAGAGTTGAGAAATGCCAAATTATTTCAGTTCTAGCTGAAAAGCCAGGAGAAAACATCTTCACACAGAACATCTCATTTGTTTTAAATAGTTTACTCAGGTATTAATTTTCCAGTATAGACACAGCGTATACAATGAGCCTAACAGTTTCAACTGCATTGCCAGAAGTCTTGTGTTATTATAAATAAGGTCATCTACCAGTACCTACCAGTAAGGAACATCTGAGAATGTATGAAACATTACAAGCAAAAAATAATAATAATTAAAAAAAAAAAAATCACTATCCCTCCCTCAGCACAGCATGCGAGAACCTGCCTTGCCTACTTGTGACATTCAACAGCTTTAGGGAAGGTATAGCACAATGCATTAATATTTCATTATCTCTTTTTAACTTCATTTTGGGGAAAGAAAAATTCTGCATGTTGTTGCCCTGCTATTCTATTACTCCAGCTGTACCATTCTTCCATTTTACATGATTTCTATAGAATCAAGGTGTCCTCCTTCAGAGAAGGAGAAGCCAGATCATTAAAGCAGAATTGGATTATGCATTCATATTGTGGTGGGGGTTCCTTGACAAACAAGAGCATCTGATACCAACTGATACTGGGAACTAAGAGTAGAGAACATCATTTGTAGAGAAACTTCCCAAAAATTTGATGGCCAAACTTCACTTGAGAAGGCGATACTTGTACCTTGCAATTTATTAGTGTGTGCTCTGCAGCCTACTTTTCTTTCTATTTCCTCACTGAGACTCCTGCACTGGGGAGCAGAGAACATACTTGTTTCTCCCTCTGTCCAGCTGGTAGCATGGTACCACCATATTGATCAGTGAAGGAACAAATCATGACTGGTCCTGCTATTGACTTCTTTCAGGATGCATTAGTACTATTGGTCTAATCTCTTCTGGAAAGGAAACAGGAGATAAGAGCTTCCTCCGAAGGAGTAAACATTGGAAAGGTCATATTTTTATAGCAAACTGAAGAGCAAATATAAACATAGGGGCAATTTTGTGCCAAATCCTATGTTGAGTGCATTTTTGATGCTTTTTTTTTTAAGCAAAAATATTATCTGATTTTTTTCTTCATTTTTGTTCTCAGTCCAAAACTTACCACCTTTTTTTTTTTATGAATAAAGTAAAACATGGCTGCTTTTCATGAAAAACTGCCTTTTGTGCTTTAAAGAAAATGTCCTTGTCATTTTTTGCATACTGCTTAATCCAAAAAGACTTATTTTGCAAGCTTAAAATGCTGTATATTTATGGTCAAAGGGGAATATTTCACATTTGACTGACTTTAAAAGTAGTGGATAAGAAACGAATTCACTAATACATAAAAAAACAAATGTTTGATAACGTCACTGTGGGCCACATCTGGCTTTGTGGCTAGGTCTATATGGAACATAAGATTTATAAAAACACCAATTTAATGCCTGAGGACAATAGGATTATAAGTATGCTTAAAGTAATAAAAAGTCAAGGCTTCAGGTTCTTATCAAGTCCTGTGCAGTCAACAAGAGGTCTCAGAATATTCCATTAGGTGCTAAACACCTAATGCATCCTAGGAAAGCATTATACATAACATAATCAAGACAATTTCCCTGTCTTTTCAGCCCCTGTGATCAAACCTTACCAGTACAGATTATGACAAACACAGGTGTAGTCAGTTTAAAGGAAGGAAAGTATTCTCTTTGAAAGAATACTTTTGTGATGTTAAGAAATTCACACTCACCAAAACGTCAAGCAATTAAAATTTGCATCCTTAGCAAATGTAACATCCACACTGCATGTAGGCTTGCAAATAGCTGCCAAAGGAAGTGTTAGAAAAATCTCTGCAAGATAAAAGGGGACTAAGTTAAAATTCCTGTGGAATTATCATTTTAAATTCTTGACTCCTTTATGCATGTACATTCTTTTCATGACATTGCCCAGACATACTTTTTTGCATTTCATACTACACTTCCACTACATTTGTAACACTCTAGAATATTTCACCATGGATGTAAAGCACTGGAATTCTAATACTTTGTTCTTATGGGAAAGGCTTACCAGAGCAGAAGCTGAGCTGTATTAATTTATTGTCATGATGAAGGGGCTAGTGAGAATCAGAACTGACACTGACTCTTTCTGTTTTCTCCACTACTTTTTGATTGCAATCATTGTGGTGTCTACAGATGTCATATCCATAACAGGCACACCAGAATTCGAAGCAATTTACTGAGGCTGGAAAACAATTCTGATAAAAAATGTGCTTCTCCCAGAACTTGCCATATTAGAGTATCTGAAAAGATTGCCAAGGCTGGCATTTTGCCTATGTTGCCCAGGGCTATAGAAGATTGGCACAAAGTAAAAATATTTGAAAAATGATCAACTGTGTTTGGTTTTATGAGTCACGTTTCTTTTAAAACACAACTTGCCTGTCAGACCACAAAGGCCTGATGTGACAAAGTGATGATGATTTGAGAATTGGTGTTACAGATGATATGGTTTCTATATGGTTTGAAAAAAACTGCAGAAATGGATTTATAACATCTGTTGGTATGTAAAATGTTGTGAGCAAGGTGGAATTTTGAAGACCCAAAGGAGTCAGAAGAGCAAATCTCACTGAAAATCCTACAGATCATCTAAATGGTCACAGAGAAAAACTAAAAACAGATAGGAGATTAGTATTTGATCAAGTATTGTAAATGCTGTGGTCTTCCTATACCCACAGAAAATTCAAAACTCAAGATACAAGCAGGCCGAGTAATAGTACAATACATAATTTTCACCAGTTTTTTGAAGATCCTATTCAGCCTTTTGAAAAGATGGAAATGAATTTGCCCCAAAACTCACAGAACCATTTGGACAGATGCACTCAAACATACACAATATTATTCATTTACTGTGGAATTTTTAAATCATTTTGCTTCTAGTTTTTGTGCTTTCCTTCTGTAAGTCATCATGGACCAAAGGTGTACAGGCAAAAATGTGTGCAAAATGCTTACTACCAAATCAATTACAATTGTCTAACCAGTAAAATTCAGTAAGTTCACAGCCCATAACAAACAGCATTTTTCAGAAGACTATGTTTTAATGAATTATTCTAGGATATCAGGGAAAGATAAGCATGGGACAGCGTTCTTTCTGATGTTTCATAAATAGAAAAAGATGTTTTCTCTGAGTTTGAATGATTACTAATTGAGAACTTTTTACAAACTTTAGATCTTACTGCAAAAGGAAGAACATATATTGTACACAGAAAGCAGTAGGTTAGTCTATCTTCCAACATTTGCAGTTTCTGACAGTTTCTTGCCCAGATCTTTGCCTAAATTCCTTTGAAGCAGACGATCTAAGTAATTTACAAATTCATACTGTATAATCCCCAAAATGCAGGGTAATTTTAGTTATCTTCATGTGGATTTTCATAAAACTGCCAGAAGCTCCTTTCAGGTTCTGTACATACAGATGGTATAATTGCTTTGAACTAGAATCTGATGATCTCTGGCACCTGAAGGAACTAAAAGTATAGCAAAGCTTTCAGGGACTTCAGAGAGGTAGAATCACAACCAAATTTCCTATCTATTCCAATAGGATTTTACATGGAATTAATTCAAAATGAAGACTATAGACTACATAATCTCCCCTCTGGAAGGTTACTGTATGTTTGGGGAAGCAAGCCATACACTGTAAAAAGCTGCTTCTATAAACCAGTCATAACAGGAGCAGGACTATATCTGATGGACATTATTTTCAAGGCCTTTACTACTCAGCTGTGGAAGATTGGGGGTTCATTTTTTATTTATTTATTTATTTAATCTGATACAGATGAAGTACTGACTTTCTCAAGGAAAGTAAACAAGAAATCTATTTTGGCAAGATGAATTTTTCTGAGGAGCCAATAAAATTTCATTTCACAAGCTTCTTTCAAATGCTGATCCACACATTTCTAGTTGCCGGTAGTTGGGCATCTGCCGAGTCATCACAGTGACTGACATATTTTTCTTTTCCCCATATACTTTTGGCTTTAAAAATGCTTATTTGGTGCATCACTAGCAGTTTTCAATACACTGGTTACTGTGCCCTACAGACCTCAGAGTGGAATTAGACCTTCTCCTGGCCCATAGAGATAGAACCTCCAATTATTATTTCTGCCCTATTGGTTTCCCCTACTTCTTCCAGAACAATGGGGTGTTGGATGCTGCAAAACACAGACCCCACTGAATTCACTCCTACAGATTTCTTCCCTGCTTCCTGCAGACTTTGTGGCACACAATGATAATAAATAGCGTACTACAGTACTAAGAGACAAATAGTTCTCTACAACTTTTCACTCATGTTAGCCTTCTCTCTTTTTTTTTCCTTTCCTCTCACTCTCTAAAGAATACAGTTGATATGTACATCAACCTTTATTTTTCGTTATGATAACAGTAACAACAAAAAACAGCCACAAAAAATATAAATTTAGCAGCTCTCACCTGAATCATCATAACACTCTATGTAAACACTCTACTTTAAATCCAACATAGCAATACTTAGCTTAGACTTTCCTCTGAGTTTTACTGTAAATCCCATTATCTTGCAATTGATGTAGATTAAGAACACACATCAGCTGTGCCTATTGATCAGATGATTTCAATTACTTCTGATCACTACAGCACATAGGATCAGGACTGGGTCCCCAGGACTCAGTACAAAGCCTCCAGACAATTGTCAGAGCTTTATTATTAACTAAGATAGAACCTAAGAGAATAAGCATAATTAAGTAGGAAATGAACATGACAGTTTTTTCAATGAAAATCTTTCTGCCATCTTGTTCTCTTGTTATATGAAAAGCCTGCCGGCTGCATTTATCAACACAAATATTAAGGTTATTGCCTCTTAAACCTTCAGACTGGGGCCCAAAGGACTGGCTCAAAAATTTCACCAGTCAGATTCGTGCTACACCTTTCCTTGCTGCACAGATTATACCGTGCCTCCAAGTATGTTTGAGATATCACTCTCAAACACTGGAAGGAAGAATTTTGAAAGGCTTTTGAGAAGGCTGTGAAATCATTATAGAAAAGTTCTGATATTGCTGGCAAATCTAATGTGTTTAGATCTTTAGATCTTTTGACACAATCTTTATGTGTCACATAGCTGCAGGCACTGAAGGTGAAACTTGATCTAACTAGAAGAGCAGTCAGATAGGTCTGTTAAAATATACTTTTGCTGAAATCAGCTTGAATAAAGCAGTCGCCTGATCTCTTGAGTGTAGTGGATTGGTCTCTTGAGGAAGGGCTACTTTTCAGTCCAAGTGTCAAGCACCACAACTGTTCCTTTCTATAACTTGTTGTTGTGGCTAGACTTCAACTCTTTGCTTTTGTAAACAATGAATGAAGTCATGCACTAATGTTCTACTTAACAGGTCTCTTTGTAAATCTCTTTTATCTAATATAAAGAGAAGAAAATATGAGAGCATTTGATCCTGCTTTATCTCAGTCCTGTAACAGTTTGCGAAACATTCCAGCAAGAAATTTAGAGTCCCATTAATTGCTGTAGGATGGATTCATCAAAAAAGGAAAATCCTTTTAAAGGCTCTAACCTCAGGAAAAAATACAGATGTCTGTAATAATGATTTACATTCCTTATGCATTAGACAATGTATAAAGTATGTGATTCAACATGAAATATCCATAGCCCTATGGACCATGCAAGCTCTGGATGCTGGTTCCTCAGCAGGCGAGCTGGCACATTCAGATGAAAGGTCAAACTAAAGTAGAAAGCAAATACCAAAAATACCTCAAGTGTGAGTTCTGAATGAACTCCTTGCTTCCATCTGCCACCACCCCTGGTCTCTAGATAGTCTCCCCACTGAGAGCCATGTGAATTAAATGACTTTCATTTCCCTGCTTCCCTCCTCCTCTCTTATTTCTTTGTTCTCTTTCCCAGTACCATAAACTATACTCTGCTTCTTCACTGGTTTCTTCTGATTCCTTGCTCCTTAAATAAGCATAGATGATGATAAGCAAATCCACCCAAACTGTTGGTTCAAAGCAGAAAACCAAACTCCGTATAAATCATGCTGATTTCTGTTTGTCCTTTCTGACAATAACTGCATATTTCTGCACACCAAATAAATTTTAAATATTTGTGTTTTTTTCACTATCATTATTTGGTTAATCAGAAGAGGTCATATTTGTCTACCGAGACATTCATAACCATGTAAACTACTTAGCAAGGCAACTGATAACATTTATCTTTTTAGCACGTTTCCCGTACAGTACCTATACCAGCATCTCATTCATATTTAGCAGGAAGACTTCAAAAAGGATTGAGAGTAGTTGATGTCAGCTTAGAGGAGTGCCCATTATCCACATGCTCATGTAGTATATGTTTGAATGATCCAAATCTACTGCGCCTGCAAAAATGGACTAAAAAATGTTCAGGGCAGTTCATCCTTTAAGATGCGTTAGAAGTATTTAAAAAATAGCAGACTTCAGGTAGCATTTCCTCTGTCCTAGGTGAAAAATGGAAAACAGAAGGCAGTAAAAACTAAAGTAATACAAACCACAGCTCATGAGAAATATTAAATATTTGCCCTAGGTTCAGTTGCAGTTTTTGATGGAGGTTGGTTCATATCTAGCTCTGTTTGTCAAAATCTGATTTTACAGGCAGGATTTCGAAAAAAATGAATGCTATAAAATATTACTTTTCTCCAAATACACACAAACATTTTATGTATTTGTTCTAACTAGCTACTGTGAATAAATGTGTCTGATTATTGTGCAAGCAGTTGCATCTGTACAGGTGATATCAAAAATCTGGTCATGTACAAGGCATGCTTTAAAACAGATGATTAATTACTTTTAGAAGTGGGGTGCTCTTTCTAAAATGAAAGGAAATATTTAAGTTAGTTGAGATATCTTATTACTTCTCCATAATATACAGAGCTTTAGGGAAAGATTAGGTTTATTAAGTCAGACTCACAATGCGGGCTTTCAACACTGCCATTTCCAATAAGTACACATTTGTTTAATATTAAAGTTCCTTTTCAAAACAAAATAGTTAAGCCTACCCTCACATTTATACATCTGCAGTTTGTTTGATAACTTACAACATAATTACAGGCTGTCCTCCCACTAAATGCTGTATTCAGACTTATGAAACAAGGTGGTAAAATATGCACTGGAGTCTGAGTACTAAGCCCGTAATTTACCACAAGCACTAGGAAGAAAAGAAACAGAGGGGAACCCTGCTATTTAAACTGCTCAGTTATCATGTTTCCCTCCCCCACATATACAGTAGAGTATAACCCATTCATATTTCAATTTTACATTTCCTAAACTGTCATCTTCTTATGTTTCAAGTTCATTTGAAATGCAATCTGTTTATCAGAGCGGCAGTGAATGCTTTTGCAGATCAAGAGAGAGATGTCTCTCCCCACTAACAAATAGGTCTGCAGCAAATGGGTTGGTGAAGCAACACAGGCATTGTGGGATTAAGTAAACTGCCCAGAGAATTATGGAAGGGTGAGTTTTGCAGCCCCTTTCTTATCTCCAGTGTTCAACCAGTGAGAGTGTATCCTCCCTCTCTGCTGGAGATGCAGCTAAAATAATTAAGTAAATACTCAGGTAGAACTAGAACACGTGGAAAAGGAGCTTTGGATGGCCGAGAGTAACTTCATTTCAACAAGGTTTCTTACAGAGAGTGGCCAGCCCAGGAGACATATAGAAGTGGTCAGGCTCCAGCATCCTGGGATGCTCACCGGCAGATGCTTCACGACCACCCTTCTTTCTTCAGGGCTGCTTGCTCAGGCAGAGAGCAGGACTAACCTGGCACCTGGGTTTTGCCCTGCCTTGCTTTCCAGCCACAGTTTGCAGGGCTCTTGGGGAAGGGAGCTCTTGTACTCCCTTTTCCTCAGGAACTGCGAGCCTTTAGCCAGGAACATTGCTTTCACACAATCACATTCTCTTTCTATTTTATTTATTTATTTATTTATTTATTTATTAATCCATTTTGTTATTCCATCATACTTAACCAGCAATCATGGTTCTTAATGGTGATTTTCAGTGATATGTATATGTAAAGCTCACTGTGCAGCAAAGTGTTCTCAGCACAACTCTGTTCTGTAAATATGCCAGCTCACTTGGTGCTGCTCCAAAATACATTTTTCTCAGCCACTACTGCAGTTCTAGAAACTTATCCATGTTTTAGATTTAAAAAAAATAAAGTCACATCTTCACATATACTATTTACTAAACACATCATGTACTATAAAAAAAAAAAAAAGAATGACTATTAAAAAGCATATTTATTTTTCACTGTTTTTCCCACCTTCCCTCCAAACCTGCACCATAAATATCAATGAAAACGTATTCACTTCTGATTCCATTTAAAAATCTCTAAGCTACATTTGGCAAGTTGCAAACATGAAAAAGTTCATCTGCTGTGAGAAAATATGTTGTACCAGAATAATATTTTAAAAGTAGGTGTCTGACTTTCATAACTGTAGCAGACTTAACAGGGAAGGGAGATATAAGATACCAAAAGCTGGATGCTTTAGTGTAATTTGTTTGCTAAAGCATCTCCGTAAAGTGAGCCTAGGAAACCTCCTCACTTCAGATTTTGCCTGAGATTTCAAAGACAAAGAAAGGGTGTTTTTCTCATGCCAGAGTCCAGGCTGGTTTTGTTAACATGCTAGACAAGCAGAAAAAGATGCTAAAGACACAAACTACAAAGAAGCTATTGAAATCGGTTGAAACCATCTCCACCAATTACACCCAAAGCTGCAACCTTAAGGAGACTTCAGCACTGCTGTAAAAGAGAGGATATGGAGGAGCCTGTCAAAGTAATTCTTAAATTCTTAAAAAATATTTTTTTAACAAAGTTCCTATATAAAGTACACTAAATCTAGAAATGTGTACCTTGTTGTTATGTGTGGAAGGTGGCCACTTGCATATCTGAGTGTATATATAATCTTAATGATTACAGGTACCATTTATGCTTCTTTCCCTAAACCTTTCCCTAGCAAAACATCTCCCTGAGAATACTGTCAAATATTCCAGCTGTTCTCTTCTTTCCTCATCTATCAATTATCCACAAAATATTCTCAGTGAAGTGGTGAAACACATGCCATTATTTATAAAGCCCACCTAGCTTTATAGAGATGTTTATAGATATTGTCTATGACACAGGTTTCTATATGGGTACCTAATTACTTTAGGCTTTATATCATTGCCTAATTAGCATTTGCCAATAGTTCAAATAATAATATAAGAATGTGATTGGTGATGTCCAAAAAAGGAAAGGAAACATTCTAACTAACTTCTGAAGACATTTCCCATCTGTAAACTGACCTACCTGGCATGAGAATAAGAACAGAAAGGTACACAAAACACTTCATTTTATGATCGGTCTTATTATCAAACTGTTCATTTTGTCCCATATAAGTTTGCTATGAGGGAGCGAATGATGCTTACTGCTGGATTCACAGGAAGGTCTGCTGAACTGCTTTGATGACAGGCAGTATTTCTTTTTTCTAGTTCCTGCCAGCAATAGGAATCTACTGCTGAC